ATGTGATCAAATGCATGTAAGTGTCCCGCTGGCACCCATCTCTATGTGATCAAATGCATGTAAGTGTCCCACTGGCCCCCATCTCTATGTGATCCAAAGCATGTAAGCGTCCCACTGGCACCCATCTCTATGTGATCAAATGCATGTAAGCGTCCCGCTGGCACCCATCTCTATGTGATCAAAAGCATGTAAGCGTCCCACTGGCACCCATCTGTATGTGATCAAATGCATGTAAGCGTCCCGCTGGCACCCATCTCTATGTGATCAAATGCACATAAGTGTCCCACTGGCCCCCATCTCTATGTGATCCAAAGCATGTAAGCGTCCCACTGGCACCCATCTGTATGAGATCAAATGCATGTAAGCGTCCCGCTGGCACCCATCTCTATGTGATCAAAAGCATGTAAGCGTCCCACTGGCACCCTTCCCTATGTGATCCAAAGCATGTAAGTGTCCCACTGGCACCCTTCCCTATGTGATCAAAAGCATGTAAGTGTCCCACTGGCACCCTTCCCTATGTGATCCAAAGCATGTAAGTGTCCCACTGGCACCCATCCTTATGTGATCAAATGCATGTAAGCGTCCCACTGGCACCCTTCTCTATGTGATCAAATGCATGTAAGCATCCCACTGGCACCCTTCTCTATGTGATCAAAAGCATGTAAGTGCACCCATCTCTATGGAATTCAATGCATGTAAATGTCCTGCTGGCACCCGTCTCTATGTGATCAAAAACATGTAAGCATCCCACTGGTGCCCATCTCTATGGGATTCAATGCATCTAAGTGTTCTACTGGCACCCATCTCTATGTTTTTCAAAGTGCTTTGTGATCGCAGGTTCTCTCATTTCCATTCTCTTGTTGGCTTTTCATGACAGACCTGCACCTTGACAAGGCAGGGGACCCCCCCCCCATTTCCATGACTCTTCAGAGGTTCAGACAAGGGAAGAGAAGAAAGTGAGTCACCTGAGGTCATAGGCTTGCAGGTGATGGAGCAAGGACCTCACTCACTAATTACAAAAGTTTTCCTGTTTATTGTTATGGGTTTTCTGTGGATCATAATCATACTTTATCTTTTCTAACAATTGTGCATTCTATTTTTATTTTATTTCATTACTCAAAAATTCTACAATAAAAATGACAGCTTTTGTTTATTTCTCGGACTTGCTGAGTGTGCCTCTTGAGGAGCCCTGCCATAAAGCATGATGTGTAAAGTGCTTAGAGCAGCACCTGGTGCACAGTTAGTGCTGCCTAGGTGGTGTGTCACCATCTCTTCATTGTCCTGTGCCCATCTGCCTCACAAGCACAGCCAGCCTCATCCTCCCTCCCATGCCCTAGACATGGGTGTAGCTGGAGAGGGCTTTGATTGTGTTTGATCCCATCATCTCTGCCTATGGTGAGGACTCAGTAAACCTCTATTGACTTAAATGTATGCCTGAGCTTTGCACAGTGGCAATATGGTAGCTAGGTATAATTATTGCTATTTGAAACATTTTTCCAATATCCCTCTGTGATGACTTGCAATATTGTTGGCATTGGCAATTTTTGATAATCTCTATAGAGACTGAATAAAAACTTTAAAACAATGGGTGCCTGAATGAATTGGGGGACAGATAGAGGTCCAGCAGTTCTGGACCTCATGGCCAGAGGAAAGGAGTGTGTCAGAAGCAGTGATGTTCTTAAAGGGTAGACGGTCTCTAAAGATGGCCACCACCAATTCCTTCCCACCCTGTCTGCACTTGGTGTTCCTTATGCCAAGAAGTAGAACCTTTGTCGTCAGTTCTTGGATCTGAACTGGCCTTAGTGACTTGCTTGATGGATGGGTTGTGGTGGGAATAACATTCTGAAACTTCTGAGGCCAGGCTGCAAGGCTTCCTTCCTCCTGTATCTCTTAATATGCCACTCTGGGAACCAGTCATTCTTGGATTACTCCTTCTTGGAATCTACCTTTTGTACTGTAAGAATCGCAAGCCACATTAAGAGGCCACGTATGAGTATGCCAGGCAGGAGCCCCCACTGAGATTCCAGGCGACAGTATCAGCCTCCAGCTCTGTGACCGGATGTCCAGCCCAGCTGAGCCTTCAGATGACTTTCACCCCAGCCAGCAACTGACTGCAACCACGTAAGAAACCCAGAAAGAAACTACTAAGCACAGTCAATCCACAGAGTCTTTAAATAATAATGAACTATTATTTTAAGCTACTATATTTTAGGGGTGGTTAAAAAAAAAAACCAGTGCTGATACTTGTACATCGCTTCCCTTCTCAGGATCCAGCAGTGAACACCCAATTCATTGGCCAAGAACTGATAATGTGCTAAAGCAGAGAAATATAGTCCTCCCTCAAAGAGAAGTAGCAAGCAATCAGGAATAATGACAAGGGAATGAAGTGGCTCGGTATAATATAGACACAGCAGTACGCTGCATGTGTACATACTAGCAATAAGCCTTTACAAAACAAAGTGAATAAGAATTCTTTTCATAACTATGATAACAGAAATAAAGTATATAGAAACAACATTAACACCACAGATACATTCTAGTACCTGGTATACTCCCCAGGAGGCTGTGAGAGGTTTTGTAATGAGCTCATTAGCAGAGATTGCATACTGAGAGATTTCTGGCAAAATTGCAAATAGGAAGATTGCTTCCGCCAAATGACTAAAAATGTTCTTTTGAACTATTAAAAGGTTGCTACCTATGTGCTAGGGTTGGGATAAGATGGTGAAGTAGAATGGCTGGTCTCCCTGAAGTCTGCTACAAGTGAAGGGTGGGTTAGGACTGAGAGTTGGCCCCCACAGGCACAGCTGATGGGTAGCTCTGCGGAGCTGGCCTTCTCTGGGTGTCCAGCCCCAGTCACAGCAGATGACCTCCAGAGAAGGCAGGTGTCCTTCAGGGAAGCGAGTGTCTCTGACATCAATTCCTCTAGAAATATGCGTAAACAAACCACAGCGTTCACCTGTGACACTGAATGGACATGCTGGAATTCCTGACCTTTGGGAGTGAGACTAAGCAGCAGATTATCTTTCTAGAAAGGATCCCATGGGTTCACAGGACATATGAATGGTACCTCTTGTGCCTACTGACTTCGGTAATCTTGTCCCCAATCCCAAGCTGAGAAGAGCCTATGTTTTAGAGGTGTGAATGACAAGGGGAGGGAAGAGATAAGTGAGACAAGCCTTTCCCAGGTGCATACTTCTGCTCAGGTATGCCATGTCCCAGGCTTTTCCTTCCCCAGTGTTCTGTTCCCTGGTACGCCCTTCCCTGGGTGTGCCCTTTCCCAGGTGGCATTTGGCTTCCTCACCTTCTCTATGGTTCTGCTCAGCTATCACTCTTACTGTGAAGCTTCCCTCCCCACACTGTCTAAAATGTGACCTCCCTCAACTTCCCCTTCCCTTTCCCCTACTTCATTTTTGTCCATGTCACATACCCTATAATTTCCATCTCCATTTTCTTCATTGTCAGTCCCAGACCATGAAAGTTCTGCCTGTGAGGTGTGTTTTCAAACTGTGTCAGCTGCTATATCTCAGTGTCTAGGCCAGGTGTGTAGCACACACGTACCAAGAGGATGAATTGATTAGATGTGTCTGTCTTCCTTCCCTAACTTCAAACTTTTGGAATGCCCCAAGGCTAACACATAACAGCCACCTGTTTCAATGTTGATTGATCTCAGTGACTTGTCCCATCCACAATGGCATTGTGAAGACACCAGTAATTTCCTGAAACTCAGAAACACCTTCCCAGGAAGGATTTCCCAGAGTATCCCTGGTGGGGAGCTCCCTGTACCAGCTGTGAAGCTCTGTGCCTCACAAAGAAGCATTGCATTAGAAAGTGGCCTTGCTGGGCCATAAGGGATCAGTTGTGAAATTTCCTGGGCCACAGCACTAATCCTGAACTTGGCATGCGCAGTGCTGACTGTTTTAGCTTGTGCCACCAGAGCCTATAACCCTTAGACCTCCCTCCTTCCCTTTCTCAGCCCCATCCCTGCCTTGGGCCAGCAGAGCCTGCAGGGGTCTGTCTTCCCTGCCTGGCCTGGCCCTTCTACAGCCTGGGGGCAGGTGGGGGACTAAAGCCAAACCACCCAGGGATAGGCTCCCAGGGCACAGACCCTGGATTACAGCAGAGGAATATCTAGAGCATGCATCTATTTGTGTGTTCATTAGCTCACTCTGGAACAATCTTCGAATCCTTCCACCTGTAGACACTCTGTGGTGCTAAGACACAAAGCCAAGTCAATAGATACCCACTGTGCGCCCTGCAGTGGGGAAGAGGGTCCCGAGCGATCAGCTCACAAGTGCAGGGCACTGGACACATGGTGGCTCCTTCTGTGCATGTCTCACCTCTCTTTATGGTTCTGCTCAGCTATCACTCTTATTGTGAAGCTTCCCTCTCCACACTGTCTGAAATGTGACCTCCCTCAACTGCCCCTTCCCTTTCCTCTACTTCCCCTGGGCTTTGTTTTCCCATGAGCATCTGTTACCTCTAAGGAGGGACAAAATTCAGCAAGGCCATCATCAGTTTCTTGGCTTTTTAACTCAAGACCTTTTTTCCAACTTTCACTGGTCAAGAGAGGCTAGGTTGTGCGGCAGTAACAAATCAATCCTCAAATTTCAGGCATTACACAGCACAGACTTCTTGCCTACTTCCCTAAACATGCTGCAAGCCCCTTGCTCTCTAAGACAGTCTCTTCTAAGCAATGGCTCAGAAGTCCCTAAAGCTGTGTCTGGGACACACCACCTCTCTGTGAGGAGGACAGAGCTAGAGTTGTGTGCAGACTCTTAAATGCTTCAGCTTTGAGGTGACATTTCTTCTCACAGCCATTGGCCAGAGAAGTTAGGAACACATAGGGAGGTAGGAAGTTTCAAGGACAGATGTAGGGAACACAGATATTTGGGGGTAACAAACATCTCTGCCACCCCCTCTCATGAAATAAATATCCTAAAGCATACGGAGGTGAGGAAGAAGGGCAGATCACACTCACTGTAGAGATGCCCAAGGGTCAGGACTGCGAGTCCTCTGACCACATGTAACCAGCTGGTCCCCTCAGCACCCAGCACCCCATGGATGGCAGTGTGTGTGTGTGTGTGTGTGTCCCTCTGCACCTGAATAAGATGGAAGTCTGTAGGCCCAAATGAAGTGTGCTGTGCTGCCCTGCTGAGGCTGTGGTGGCAAAAACCCATGCCGAATGGGCCCATACCCTGAGACCAGTGCCACAAGGGAAAGGGACCAGGTGCCATGGGAAGGCAGGCAGGATAGATGCTATGAGAAAGTGGCCTTCAGGATGGGGCCTGGAGGGTGAGCAAGAGTCAAGTAGAAAAAGAGAAAGGGGTTAGCAGGGAGAGGTTAATGAGTGACACTCAAGGAACCAAAAGGGGGATGAACTGAGGTTGTTAAGGTAACCACAGCAGGTGAGTTGTTGCCTGAACAATGGCTTGGGCATGATTGGGATCAGGAATGAACACAGCAGCCTTCCTGCCAAGGCCAGCCTTGGGTGACTTCAGCTTCATCTCAAGCTGAAGTGGGCGAATCCACCCATCCACCCTGTCTTCCACTGGTCAAGAATGTCCTCACTTCTGGATTGCTCACTGACCTCCTATTGAGGCATCAGGGAAGCCCTTGGATGGGAGGCGGAAGGCTGGAAGAAGAAGTCAGGCAAGGCCACCCCCCCAGCTGCTCTACCTCCATCTTCCTTGGCGCAGTGAAGGCCATGTTCCAAACAGCCAGATGTCTCAACACTAAGTAAAGCATCGTCTGTTTTGTACCTTGACAAATGTATTTCTAGAATGACTGGAAGGCCAGGTTGAGTGGAAAATGGAGACATCTAAGATGGTGACACCAATGGAGGCTTCCAGGCCCCTTTCCAGAAGCAGAAAAGGGGAAGTGAATCTGCCTTTATGTTTATTTTCCTTCATTTCGACTTTTAAAAGAAGTTATGGAATGTGTGTGGTTGA